AAAGGTGAAACATGAAATTTTTTTTGTCAGTTTGCTGCTCTACCTTCTTGGGAAGAGGACATCACAGAAGTTTATAGGAAAAGGACAAAGACAAGGGGTGGCTATGAAAAAAACAAAAACTTGTATGGGATTTAAATACATATATATCTATGTGAATGAAGACAAAAATGACTTAGTATTTCACTTTTTTCTCTCTTAACTAGTCAACATTCTGATAAGACAAGATGTCTGAATCCCTCACAAGATTCAACAGCTAGGAAAATAGTATCCTCTTCCTTCACTAAGAACTCTGTTAGAACTTTGTTCTTCTAACCTTTGGGTTATTTGCTAAGGGTGTTGGCACTAACTTTGAGAGACTGTAGATGACTTGTCAGTGTGGATCACTACCTTAGCATAGGACTCTAAATAATGGGTCTGCAAGTCCTCTAGTTTTCCTAGTACAGTTCCACTGAGGTCTAGAAAAATCAGTGTACACAATGCAGAAATCTAACCATTTTACTACAGAGGGTACAAAACAGGCCAAAAGAGAATCTGATTTCAGCTAGATTATTTCTGACGAGCTAACAGAACCAAGAGGAGGAGGGAAAACTGGTGTTAGATTTTTTTAGCCATGATATATTTTCCACTTCACTGGAATCCAGATCCCCTGTTAGACCAAACCTTCATCTGTTAGATGAGTTTCTCAATATCAGCACTACTGGCATTTTGTACCAGATAATTCTTTCTGCAGGGGCTGCTCTATGCATTATGAGATATTTAGCAGCACCCTGGCCTCTACCCTAGCACATTCCCTCCATCCCCAAGCTGTGAAACCAAATGACCCCTGAGGAGCAAAACCACTCCTGGTGAAATCACTGTGTTAGATATTACCAAAAGAGACTAATTTAACTCTATTATATGAATCGAGTTCTTAAAGACTTGCAGGGGTTTTTTATCCGTTTCAGTCAATAAAGTCAGAAGCATTAGGCAGACGTGATCTGCACAAACCAAATGCCAAGGCATCACCACTGAGTTCTCTTGTTCCTCACCTCTCTAGCCTGGAACAGCATTCCTGTTTTACATCCAAACTTTACCTCAAATTCACCAACGTCGTCCTATCTCTCCATACCAATGGTAACACCAAATCTAAGCCACCTCTCACCTCATTTTCTGCAACTCTGTTTTGCCTCTTGCCCCCTACAATCTAGTCTTCACACTAAAGACAGGAGCCGTTTCTTAAACACTTCTATCAGACCATGAGACTTCCCAGCATAAAGCAGCCCAGTGCTTCCCATTACACTTAAAAGCCATGCTTATTTCTATGGCCTGCAAGGCCCCACATGATCTGGCACATATTTATTTCTGCACCTCTTTCCTTACCACTCTCTGCCAGCTTACTCCTGCCAAAATGACATTTTCTATACCTCCAACTCGCCATCCACTTTCTTTTTGTTCCCATCCCCCTCTGTCTGGAGGTCAGGTCTTTGCTTAAGTCATTATATATATATATTATATATATACATAATAAAATCTTTCCTAACCACCCTGCAAGTGGCTTCCAAGTCCCTCTTCCTTAATAATACTACAGCTGAAACATCTTCTGTGTTTCACATGTGTGTACTCTGCTTTCCCTCCTTGAATGGTGAGCTCTATGATGGCCTAGACCAAGTCTTTGTAACCATGTACCTCTGGAATCTAGAAAGTGCCTTGCACATAATATAGGCTCAATAAACGTGATGGATTAATGAAGGCTAGCAGGCCAAATGTGTCCATCGAGGAGCCACAAATTGTGTTCTTGTTTCTGAGACCAAAAGCCAATCTCTCCTGAAATTCACCTCTACAGCACACATTGAATTACAAGGTAATGATAAAATTTTCACTTCTAAAAGGAAGCTTTTGTCCTTCTAAGTTTTCCAAAGGAAAACTGAATAATACTCAAATAACAACCAACAAATCCTAGGGGATTCTAGGCCACAGAATCTGAGGAAACCACAGCCTAGAGGCTGCTAAAATAATTCCTATGAACAAAACAGCAGTAACTTATAGACACTGAGAAGTGGTTACCATGGAGGAGGGGCTGGGGAAGGTGGTAAATAATGATGAAGACATCAATGTACTGATAAGGAGAGCTGTACAAGATGTATCTTTCAGTGAAAAAAGCCAAGGACAAAGCAGCAAGTACGCTTTTTCATTTTCAATTAAAAAGGTACTTACATATATTCTTAAGTATACACAAAATTCCTAAAATGGCATGCAGTTAACAGCTAATGGTAACTGTTCTAAGAAAAGAGATTATGTGTGTGGAGGGGGTGGGAAACTTGTCACTGTATGCCCTTTTATATCATTTCAGTTTTTTACTAGGTATGTGCATGATACCTGTTTTTTAAAAATTGAAGTTGAGATGTAACATTGCCCATCTATCAGCAAGTATTTATGCACTGACAACATGCCTACTGTTGTACATGATACAGGGCATAGGACCTGGTCATGCCACCCAAGAGTTTACATTCTGGCTGAGTTTACATTCTGGCATTCAACAAGCACCTCTCAAATTGTTTTGGACAGTCACCTTAGAAAACTGAACTGGATGTTTTCTTATTTTTCTACTATGACTCGGAAAACAAATCACCACCTAAAGGAATGAATTATATATGCCCAATCCATTACTCCCAACCAATGTTGCCTAGATTAATAAAGTGCTATTTCTTGGGAAGTAGCCAATGTTGATGAAGGGAGGAATCTTTACAACGACCCAAACTGTACACATACTAGATACTATAAGAAAAAGATGGACAAGTGACATATCTGGGTAGTTGGAGGTGCCTTCCTCATTAAGCTTCCTTTTATTTTCCTAACTCTATTAAGGAACGTGAGACACTGTTACAGAAAGAGAAAAAATACGCATCCTACTTCCCTTAAAAAAATATTCTTTGTGGTGCCAACACAATACCCATGCAAGTTAAATACTGGTTCTTCCCAAATTGTATGTCCTCTTATTTTACAAAGTGACAGCAATCCAAAGTGTGCTTTTCCAAAGGCTGACATGAAAGAGAATGGGTGGCAAAACCAAGAACAATCATCCAAGTCCGAGTGTTGCACTTATAAAATTCTGAGTCCACACCATCTCCCAATTAGAGCATAATCCATAATGAAGACATTATTCCTAACAAGAGAGGCAGAATAGAATCTGGGTCATTCTTCTGTAACTCTTATGTTCCTTTCGACCCATAAAGAATGTGCTAGAAAAGTATTTAGCTGACAATAGCAATACATAGGAAATCACGATGTAATTCACTACCATTATCTTATCCAAGGAGGAAAAAGACAGAGATGGAAGATATTTGGTGGGTAATTAGGGCATTTTCAAATGGTAACTTAACACAGGTACTCCTCCAATCCAGAATCTTGAGGAGTCATCACTGCTGAAAGGACTGAGTCAATGCACCACACACACTCCAAGATCCTGACAAAAAACAACAAACTGGTACTGGACACTACGTGATAGGGCCTTTCATTTCCATCCCCAATCTCGGAATCTTCTCATCTACTACAATGAAGTAGAAGTGAAACGGAGGCCTGGAGCTTAAATAACTCACCCATGGTTATATAGTATACAGCCAAGAGTGCCAAAGCCAGGATGTGAATTCAAGCAGTCTTCACTCATAAGCAGACATTACACTAACTTCCATGGAAAGAATAAACATTACACACCTTTTTCCCAATCATCCCTGTCATACATTACCATCTCCCCAACTCAGATTCAAATTAAACACCCTTGTGGCTCTTACTGATCAGAAGGCTATATATGAAAATAAGAACAGGCCATCTGGAGAGAACACTATCCCTATCAAAAGCCACTAAAATTTGCCTCTCTACACCAAGATAGCAGACTTATGACTTATTACCTAGCACTCCCAGGGGACCCACTGTTAGTGTTTCTTTCCCTGCACATGCACAGTCCCTCACCATTCACAATGATTCACAATTTGTCACAGTGCTCTCATTCAGAAAACTGTTCTCTATCAGTTCTTCCTAATAGCAGCAGCTACCATATAGTGAACATTTGGTAAGCAACAGGCTATATGGTGTCATTTTACCTCACAGCAATGCAATGAAGCAGGCACTATACCTAATTTAAAGATGAGAAAAATAAGGTTCAGAGAGGGAAAGTAATTCAGTCCAAAATCACACAGCCAGTAAGTAACTAGATCTGACTCCATGCAGTTTAAGCTTTCAGGGGTCTTGCCTTTTTTTTTTTTTTTTGAGGGCATCTCTCATATTTATTGATCAAATGGTTGTTAACAACAATAAAATTCAGTATAGGGGGGTCAACGCTCAATGTACAATCATTAATCCATCTCAAGCCTAATTCTCGTCAGTCTCCAATCTTCTGAAGCATAACAAACAAGTTCTTACATGGTGAACGAATTCTTACATAGTGAATAAATTCTTACATGGTGAACAGTACAAGGGCATTCATCACAGAAACTTTCGGTTTTGATCATGCATTATGACCTATAAACAATCAGGTCAAATATGAATATTCGTTTGATTTTTGTACTTGATTTATATGTTGATCCCACATTTCTCCTATTATTATTATTATTTTTATTTTTAATAAAATGCTGAAGTGGTAGGTAGATGCAAGATAAAGGTAGAAAACATAGTTTAGTGCTGTAAGAAGGCAAATGTAGATGATCAGATGATCAGGTGTGTGCCTATGGACTAAGTATTAATCCAGGCTAGACAAGGGCAGCAAGACATCCACGGATGCAGAAGATTTCTCTCAAAGCAGGGGGGGTGAGGTTCTGAGCCTCACCTCTGTTGATCCCCAAATTCTCACCTGATGGCCCCCCTGCGACTGTGCCTGTCTTAGGTTGTTCCTCCCTTGAGGAATCTTTAGGGGTCTTGCCTTTTATGATTAAAATGTGAGCTCCTCCTGGACTTTCCTTTTGAGAGCCACCATGCCACAGCAGATCTGCTCCACTACCCTGTGAATGCCATTGTGCCCACGTACTTACCTGAATCTCTTCATTTTCATCTACTAGGAGGAAACTGACAACCTTCTCAGTCATCTTCCTCCTCTTAGTCTCCTCATCCATCTCGCCTTCCTCCAGCCACTCCCGGACCTTAGTAACATGGTACATAGTAATGGGGTGTCTCCTTTTGTTCCCCCCAGAATGAGTCCTCTTCTGGCAGTCCAGGCACAAGTTGATTTTACAGGCCTGGCACCTCACAGCTGCTCTCTGCCTCACACCTGGGGAATGCCCATTGGGGCCCTTGCAGGGGTCACAGTAAGGGATGTGGCCGGGTTTGAGTCTGATCCGCTCATGGTTCCTCAGGCGCTCTTGCCGGTGCAGCTCCTCCTCGCAGCGGAGACACTGCAGGCTGCAGCACTCGTCACACTCAAAGACTGCCTCGTCAGTCCCGCCGCAAGCGTAACTTTCCTGACACATCAGCCCTGGATTCAGCCCCTTCTCTGATGAGGGAATCTGTGTACTCATACTCAGATTGGTAAAGAAATCACCCACCATATAACAGTCACTAAGTGTTTCCCAGGAGTGAAGACAAAGCCTTGGAGTCTGAAGAGACTTCCACAGGTTCTGAAGACCTCAAACAAAACAAAACAAAACAAAACAAAACAAAAACAACAAAAACCTCTTCAGTGTCCTATTAGAATTCTTTGCACACTCACAAGTGCTTGAATTTTTAAATTTTCTGCCTGTGAGACTCCTGTATCAGCAGCAACATTGATTTGATTTGATGGTTTCGCCCCCCATAAAGTGCAGGCAAACGATTGGTCAAAATTAACTTGAAAGGGTCTTTTATGGCTATCTGAGAGAAAGCTGATGGGTTCACTGAGGTGGGTGCATCAGTTGGGCCTCAACCAGGTTTTCGTAATGAAAGAGAGTGGTCAGGAGCTTTTCAATTTAATCCAACTTCAAGTCTGGATTTCAGAGGATACCTGGAATAAAAGACGGAAAAGGATTCCACTCATTAAAAAGCAGAAGTGCACCTTTTAAAAAACATTGTGGTTAAATACAAGGCCAAAACTCCTGAGAAAAATTCTTGCTTGTAAAACACTAGCTCATTCTGATCCTAGAAATGTCTTCTCAAAATCATGGTCTAGGCTTCTCCTTGTGAAAACAACCACTACCTCTAGGCCCAAGGTATTTAAGAGACTTCACTGTTTTATTTCCCAGACTAAAATTCTCTGTTCATTCAGATTAAATTCTGAATCTATATTACTATGTAGCTAGTCTTTGGAGGGACAACTCACTGCACCCCCACGTGCACCCCACAACTGAGAGAGGTAAAGAAAAAGGCCTTGTAAAAAGTTAAAGAAATGATAACAATAATACACTTTAGCTCCATGGAAATACTGGGCAGGTTCAGTTACCCTTGTAACTGGATCATTTCAACTCTAAACAGATGTCTATTAAGACTTTAAACCTGGAAACAGGAGTCACCATTTCAAGTTTGAAAACAGTAAAACAACTATTGTACTTTATTTTGTCCCTTCTAACTGCAAAAAAAGGGGGCAACAGGAGAGAGATTTCCTCCACTATGGCCCACCGCAAAGGCAGGCCAACAGTGAGTTAAAAAAAATAATTTTTCTCCTTGTCACTCAAAGACTAACTTAAACATAACTTAAGAAGAAAGATTACTGGGGCAGGAAAGGGGCTTTTGTCACTTCTACGTTATATTCCTGACTGCTCCTAGCCTTGACCCCTATTCTAACGCCCCAACGAAATGTAAAGCCCTCCTTTAAGATACTCGCTCCTCCCCTACAGTAATCAATCTATCAATCTTATTTTTAGATAAACAAGGCCAAGGGAGTGACTAGAAACCTTATTTACACCCTAACTTCAGCCTTGCCTAACCAGGTCCCACAACAGAAACAAAAATCGAAATTTGTCACAATTGAGAAAAATATAAATTCAACCTTCAAAAGAACACCTCACCGCCCCACCAGGCCAAGCAAACATCTGCCCACTGGGGCCCCCCCCTCGACGCCTCTCTCCAGCCGGGGATTCCTCACCCTTCCTTCCTCCCGGGCAACTACAATCACAACCAGAGGGGCAGAAGCAGAGTCTAAGAACAAAGAAGGTCCCCCCAAAGCCCCCCGACGCCGGCAGAGGCCACAGCCGAATCCATTGTTTATGCCACCCCACCCCCATCCCAGCCGCACCCGCTCCCCCTTCCTCCTGGGGACAGCCGGAGCTCCAGGACTGTCGCTCGCCCGGCGCAGGGCCGTGCCCTTCCCTCCCAGCCCCCGGCGGTCCGGGATTCCCACCACGGAGCAGCTCGGCCGCAGCTAGGCAGAGTCGGGGGACCACGGGGCGCCGGTGGAGACGGAAACTGTTCCTCAAGGTACCGGCGGATCCATCCTCATCTCCATCTCCGACCCCCTCCTCCTTCGCTGCCTCCCGTGCTTCCTCCTCTCCTGTTGTCAGTGGGGATCAGCTGATCCGAGTGAACTTCTCCCAGCTCAGACTAACAGGAAGGCATGAGCTTTGCAGCCCCGGGAGGGAGGAGCTGGAAGGGGTGGAGCACGACGCAGCGGAGGGTGGGGGGAACGCTCACAGCCTCCTGGGAGATGTAGTTCCCCGGAGGTGCGACATCCCCACATCCCGGAAATGAAGTCTCTTTAGGACTACAACTCCCAGAAGATGCACATGGAGGGAGGTGACTGGGACCGGCCCCCGAGCATTTCGGAACTTGTAGTTGTTGATCTGTGGTTTCCGCAGGTTTCAGCGCGTTGTTTTGGGTTGTGGCCGGAGAACGAATGGAACGCGAAGCATAGGCTACGCAAATAATTCGATTTCATTAACCTTTTTTGCACACCATGCCTTCAGCAATGTATAACAGGCCAGTCCCCACTTCCCAAGTTTCACCTTGAACTAAGACCAGAAAGAACTGATAAAGAGAACGTAAGTACTGGGGGGAATTTTGTTGTCCCTTTACAGGTGTTCTCTCCAAGACAACCATTAATTTTTTCTCCCTACTTTTTCTTTTTCTGATGTTTACTTACACGATTTAAGAATTGATTAATTTTAAATAATCTTTCAGTTAGGATACATTTTCATATAACCTTGTAGGTTATAAAACAGACTAAAGGTTAACACTATTATCTGGCATTTTGTAAAAGGCCATATATTTCTTTAGTACTTTCACTTTTTGTTTTGTTCATTTGTTTCTTGGAACAACACTGAAAGAAAGCATGATTTAATGAAAAGAGCACTGGTTTGAGATACCAGAGACCGGGTGCTTGTTCTAGAAAGCTCTTGGGTAAGTCATTCTACTGCTCTATGAAAAGGAATTGTACTGTGTCAGCTCTGAAGTCTCTCCCAATTTTAACGTTCTGTTTCTACCTTGATAATTGTTAACCCAGGAGAGAAAACTAAGCTTAAGTGACTTGCCAAGGTCACACAGAAAATTACTGACAAACCTGGGACAAGAACTCATCACTTGATAGTCACATACTCTTTTACCTTGTGTGTCAAGGGACATAATTAGACTAATAGACAACCAAATCTACATAATAATGAGTGAGCCATGTATGAAGTTTATATTGCTAAAAATTATATTATGTTCATAAGACTGGACATATAGTCAATAGTCAGACTAACTACACCACATGATTGAGAATGTTTCCTATGCTACATCAAGAACCAGGATATTAAGAAGTAAGCTATCTCTAGCACTTTAAAACTTCAAATTTAAAGGGGGAAAAGGAAAGGAGGGACTTTGTAAACTGGTCTTGAGCTAGGCTGCTGAGACTGGGCCTGCCATAAACTTTCCTTAGAAGGTTTTATTCCTAAGACTACCAGTGTAATTTTTTGTAGCTTTAATAGTTTTCATCATACCCCTAATTATAAAATTAAGATATTAATATATTCTGGGAACAAGGAACAAAATGTTATTTAATCTTTTTTAAAACCAACAATAATCACTTTATATTTTTAAAGTTATAATAACCCCTAAAACTGTGGAAAATGGTTGCCTCCAAGAAGTGTCACTAAGGGGAGGAGCCAAGATGGTGGCGTGAATAGTTCAACAGAAATCTCCTCCCAAAAACATATATATTTTTGAAAATAGAATAAATACAACTATTCCTAAAAGAGACACCAGTGGATACAGTACAGCAGCTAGGCTACATCTACATCTGCGAGAAATCAGCATCACATGAAGGCGGTAAGATACAAGCCGTGGCCAGGCAGGACCTGAGCACCTCCCTACCCTAGCTCCCCAGTGGGAAGAAAGGAGTCAGAACCGGGAGGGAGTGAAAGCCCAGGACTGCTAAACAACCAGCTCTAGTAATCAGCACCGGGAGCACAGACACATGGTGCACGGTGTGCTGAATATTAGAGAAGTGGAAAACCAAACCTCTGAGGGGTCCCCGCAACCAGCAACCCTGGGACAAAAGAAAAGTGAGTGCTTTTTGCACGTCTTAAAGGGACAGGGACCTCACAGCTGGACGAAATTGTCCCAGCACACTCACCCCACAACCTCAGAAACCTGGGGAATTCTAGGCGACCTAACCCCCTGGGTGGCAGTGCAATTTTGAAGGCCCTCACAGCAATAAGCAGCCTGCCAGTCATTCCCCCAACTGGTGCAGACCTGGACACACCAGCCCAGGAGCGGGAGAGTGGCTGCGAACGCCGATGATGGCAGCACCAGAGGGGCCCAGGAGTGGCCCATGCGAGCTGGCAGTGGCAGAGCCAGAGGAGCCCAAGAGCGGTCCATGGCAGCCCACAGCAGTGGCAGCCAAGTGGCCTGGGAACGGCCCACCCATGCCGGAGGCGGTGGTGACAGAGGGGCCCAGGAGTGGCACACAGGAGCTAGTGGCAGTGGCAGAGGAGCAGCCCAGGAGCATCTGAGCCACCAGCAACCACCCAGAATCTCAGCCAAGTGCACAGCTGCACGGGCCAGACCCAAAGGCTGCCGCCAGCACACAGCTGCCGGACGGGGGCACCGCTTTCACAGGAGACCAGACATGGCACTCCCCACAGGGCTCTGCACTAATCTGATGGAGACCCCACCCACAGCACCTTAGGGGATTAACCCAGACGCTGTTCCAGGAGTGTGGGTAACTGACACAGGCAGTGGAAAAGGGTAAGATGACCAGAAAGCAGGAAAGGACTTTGTTGTCCCAGCTGACACACGGGCTACCTACCTACAGCTACCTCTATCACCATGAAAAGGCAGAAGAAATTGGTCCAGTCCAAAATTACCAAGACAAACCCTGAGAGAGGGCCTGGGGAGAAAGATTTAAACAATCTCCCCGAAAAAGATTTCAAAATAAAGGTCATAACCATGCTGATGGAGCTGCAGAGAAATATGCAGAGCTAAAGGAGCAAGTATAGAGGGAGAATACAGAAATAAAACAATCTGTGGAAGGATGTAAGAGCAGACTGGATGAGGTGCAAGAGGCCATTAATGGAATAGAAATCAGAGAACAGGAACACAGAGAAGCTGACACAGAGAGAAATAAAAAGATCTCCAGGAATGAAAGAATACTAAGGGAACTGTATGACCAATCCAAACATAACAATATTCGCATTATAGGGGTACCAGAAGAAGAAGAGAGAGAAAAAGTAATAGAAAGTGTCTTTGAAGAAATAGTTGCTGAAAACTTCCCCAAACTGGGGGAGGAAATAATCTCTCAGACCATGCAGACCCACAGAACTCCCAACAGAAGGCACCCAAGGAGGATACCATCAAGACATATAATAATTAAAATGGCAAAGATCAAAGACAAGGACAGAGTAGTAAAGGCAGCCAGAGAGAGAAAAAAGGTCACCTACAAAGGAAAACCCATCAGGCTATCATCAGACTTCTCAACAGAAACCTTACAGGCCAGAAGAGAATGGCATGATATATTTAATGCAATGAAACAGAAGGGCCTTGAACCAAGAATACTGTATCCAGCATGATTATCATTTAAATATGAAGGATGGATTAAACAATTCCCAGACAAGCAAAAGTTGAGGGAATTTGCCTCCCAAAAACCACCTCTACAGGGTATTTTAGAGGGACTTCTCTAGATGGAAGCACTCCAAAGGCTAAACAGACATCACCAGAGAAAAGAAAATCACAGCAAAGAAAGCAGACCAACCAAATACTAACTAAAGGCAAAAAAAATAACATCAACTATTCACAAAAGAAGTCAAAGGAAACACAAAAGAAAACAGAATAAAACACCTAACATATAAATATTGGAGGAGGAGAAATAAGAAGGGAGGGAAAGAATCATCAGACTGTGCTTACAATAGCTTAATAAGTGAGTTAAGTTAGACAGTTAGATTACAGTAAAGAAGCTAACCTTGAACTTTTGGTAACCACAAATCTAAAGCCTGCAATGGCAGTAAGTACACATCTCTCAATAATCAACCTAAATGTAAATGGACTGAATGCACCAATCAAAAGACACAGAGTAACAGAACAGATAAAAAAGTAAGACCCATATATATGCTGCTTACAAGAGACTCACCTCAAACCAAAAGGTCAAGGGATGGAAAAAGATATGTCATGCAAACAATAGGGAGAAAAAAGCAGTGTAGCAGTATTGGTATGAGACAAAATAGACATCAAAACAAAGAAAGTCACAAGAGCTAAAGAAGGACATTACATAATGGTAAAGGGATCAGCCCAACAAGAGGATATAACCATTATAAATATGTATGCACCCAATACAGGGTACCAACATATCTGAAACAAATACTGACAGAATTAAAGGAGGAAATAGAATGCAATGCATTTGTTCTAGGAGACTTCAACACACCACTCACTCCAAAGGACAGATCCACCAGACAGAAAATAAGTAAGGACACAGAGGCACTGAACAACGCACTAGAACAGATGGAATTAGCACACATCTACAGAACCCTACATCCAAAAGCAGCAGGATAAACATTCTTCTCAAGTGTACATGGAACATTCTCCAGAATAGATCATATACAAGGCCACATAAAGAGTCTCAGTAAATTAAAAAAGATTGAAATTCTACCAACCAACTTCTCAGACTACAAAGGCATAAAACTAGAAATTAATTGTACAAAGAAAACGAAAAGGCTCACAAATACATGGAGGCTTAACAACATGTTTCTAAATAACCAATGGATCAATGACAAAATTAAAACAAAAAAAGATCAAGCAATATATGGAGACAAATGACACTGACAGCATAAAGCCCCAAATTCTGTGGGACGCAGCGAAGTCAGTTCTAAGAGGAAAGTACATAGGAATCCAGGCCTATCTAAAGAAGGAAGAATATTCCCAAATGAATAATTTAAAGTCACAATTATTGAAACTGGAAAAAGAAGAACAAATGAAGCCCAAAATCAGCAGAAGGAGGGACATAATAAAGATCAGAGAATAAATAAATAAAATTGAGAACAATAAAATAATAGAAAAAAATCAATGACACCAAGAGCTGGTTCTTTGAAAAAATAAACAAAATAGATAAGCCCCTTGCCAGACTTATTAAGAGAAAAAGAGAATCTACACAC